GGTTCTTTGGGTGTTGAACAAATACAAATTGTGCCCGAGCAAGCGTCTGCAATAGGGATTGGCTAGCCGCCCTCGTAGACGGATATCCTCGTATACGAGAGGCCAGCCATCATCACTACTAAATCGGAAATTCTCCTCGAAGATACCACAGGTACTGTTATCAGTTCTTTGAGTTTATTCCAAATTGTTATTGTTTCTGTTTGAAGAGTGTTTTCCTTGTTTGTATATTTCTTTAAAATGCACTTCGTTTCCCCTTTTTGAAATATATATTTGGTTGTTATTTCTAGTTTCCGCGGTGTCTTTTCTAAATAAATGAATAACATCAGTACGAAGCGTTGATTTTTTTTTCTCAATCAGTTACACAGATTGCTGAGAATTAGACCACAATGTTGAATCATCCTAATTTCCCCTATATTTCAAATTTATGGAGAGAGTTGCATTCAGACAGCGTTTCCAAGGAAATACTACATTACGGAACAGTCTCCCATGTGGATGCTTCCCTGAACACAACAATCTACGGAATATTAAAAATTATCCTCGTAATTTCAACAGTATTACTGGCGCTGCCATACTACTAAGTAGCAAGGTCTGAAAGCCTGCAAACGTATATACAGGGCTATTGGGGAAACGTTACAATCTGGATTTGTAGAAAATTAGATCCTCACCGGGTGCTGCGTAAACGTGGCCTTGTATCAAAATTTAGCTAAGGTTATTAAATAAAATAGGCTCTTCATTTTGGGGTAAAGGTTAGCTAAATAATCTCGCCGTGTCCCTTCAAGGCATTGGTGACCATGGTCCTCCACATTTCCTTGTGTTTGTAGCTCTAAATATCTTTTGTCTTTTTGTTATCTCTCCTAAACCATGTTTCATCATTCATTTACTCAAACACGTTCTTTTTCTTCTTCAATATGATGTTCTCCTTCAGGACGTTGGCGATTATGGTCCTCCACAGTTTCTTGTCCTTTGTAGCTCTAAATAATTTCTGTCTTTTTTCTTATCTCTCCCAGACCCTGATCCGCCCTCCGTTCTCTCAAACTCACCAGGTAGATTATACGTTGCTTTCCTCTGGTCCTCTTACCTATCAATCTGTCCTATGAGTATCAGATTTTCCAAGCCCATTTGCCTCATTACGTACCCCAGAAATTTCAACTGCTTTTCTTGATGTCAATCACAAATATGTTTTTTGGTGCTGTTTTCTCTAAAACTCCGTCGTTGCTCACATATTCGGCCTATAGTATCCTCAGCATCTTTCTGTAGAACAATATTTCTGTTGCCTCAAGTCTCTTCTTCATCTTTGAGGAGATTGAACTTGCATTCACCGCTATATAGAAGGACTGATACTACATAACAGTTCAGTACTCGTTTCTTTGTTTCTAACGATGTTTTCTGCTGCTTAATACTTTGCTTAGCTTTTGGAAGGCATCTTTCGCTATCCCAATACGCCTTCGGATTTTCGTGTCGCTCTTCTTCTTCTTTTATACTAAAACACTTACCAGATAAACTAAAAAAAAAATACCTCCACTTCTTTTGGGGGTTACGATAAGTGAGCTAATAAGTCTATATTTCTGAGATGTAATTATTTACACTATTTATATTGTTCGGACTGTTGTTCTCATCTTTGTTGCTATATTCACGATGTTGAGGCCTGGTACGTGTAGCTAAAACATTCTATCTCGGTGAACCAAATAAAGTGTTCGGTTCGAAAGTTCAATCAGCTGAACAAGGCCAGAGTGTCGTGAATATGGCAGCAAAGATATGAACAAAAGTTCGAAAAATGTAAATAGTGTAAATAGTGGGCTAATCAATTTGACCATTACTACTGAATAATGAGTTCGAACTTCATTACGTGCTCATATACGTGGCCTTGTGTCAAAACCAAGCCAAGCTTTAAAAAATAACATAGCCTCCCTCATCTTGTGGAAAAAGGTTATATTTCTCGTCTGGTTGATCATAAGTATTGAGTTGTAAGTCGGTGCCACATACGTCACCTCTGTTGTCAAAGCTATAATAAGCTTATTAAATAATAACTTCATGTCTCTACGATTAATTTCCTGATCATTTCTCTCAACCGGAAACTGTTTCTTTTTCTCACTTCCGTCAGCTATAAAAACAGTTTACTTAAAGAAAAGTTTCTATCATTGGAAATTCATTAAAGTTCTATTTTCGATTGAATTTGGAATCTGGAACCGATTCTAAGTCGGGACAAGTGAGACATACAACTTGATCTATTTTCAGGAGAATAAAATGAGAACTGTAATAACAATAGATAGCGAAACGATACCCGTGCATCCGCATAGATTATTTTGGACATTACGACGTCGTGTAATGGTTAGGAAGCTTATCTCGACAGATCAATTACGACGGAATAGTGAGTTCGATCCTCACTGGGTGCTTAATACTTACGGCTTTGTGTCACATCTAAGCTACTAAAGAAGAGCAATGGTTAGCAAACTAATTTTGTAGTCCCAGAGCTAGTGTAGCCAGTGTATAATAGACTGATAGGGTGAGTCTCTTTCCGAGTTGCTAGCTGCTGCACAGACCGCACATATGTTTAAACACGTTAATTACGTAAGGTAGACCATTCAAATATATTCATTTTTTAAAAAAGTACCAGTTCCATAACATCAGCGATGATGAGGTTTAAGCACTTCCGGTCTCAATAGGGTATGCTGGGAACAAAACATATCTAGGGGCAGTTTGAATAAAGTAGACGTTGAGTTTAGCACATCTCATGTCTTTCTTTGTGTTACTACAGTATTTTAGAAGCCATGTTGTTTATTTGTCCACCCTAAGCCCCGTGGAACTATACCATTCTCTTCGGGACATAGACGATGAGAATTAGACTCATATTACTTTTCTTTTATTATTTTGTCAGTTTGATGATCGCAAGGGCTTGAAACCCAGGGTCACAAACTCACATAAATAGCTATATATATATATATATAGGTACGCTATATTTATGGGTTAAAGTGCTCAAGATCAAATTTATGCGTATACAAATATAAAAGTGGACATTGATCAAAGATAGCGGTGCGTTTAATAAAATATAAAGTTCGTGAGATGACATTGAGGGTTGCGCTTAAGCATCAAATATACTGTCGCAGATGGCCGTTGACTTCAAAGTTTATATCCACAGACAGACTGTTTTCGCTGTTTACAGCTCATCGCCTCTAGCTAGGATCGAAACCCGACTGTTCGTGAGATCAGACTTCTAACCACTAAGCCGTCGGCGCGCGGTAGGAATCAATTTTTACGTATTTACTTTTTGTAAACATGGGTGTTGACAGTGACTCAATTCGCTTACGCGAAGAGTCGCTATATATATATATATATATATATAAATATATATATATATATATATATATTTATATATATATATATATATAATGTACAAATGTAAAGAGAACGAAAATAATATAAATTCAAACGTTCATAGCATTAATTTAAAAGAGGGCTCAATCCAAAAAGTAGAGCAATAGTTATTTATTATAAGTTATTACATACGAACGAAAGTAACCATTACAAAAATGCATATTTGTTTCGATGCCTATTTCAAACATCTCATCAGGTAGTGATCAAAGGTAACCATCTTTGGTACCACCTGATGCATCGAAGGCATCGAAGCAAATATGAATTTTTATGATAATGCTACATATATATATATATATATATTTTGTAGTGGTAACATATATATATATATATATATATATATATATATATATATATATATATATTCGGTGGAGTAATGGATAGCGGGTTGGATTGAGATATCGTAGAGCTGTGTTTAAATTTCATTCGAATCCATTACATTCATTTCAGTGCAAAATATATTTGGGAAGGCATTAATCGTCTTCTTCTCCCTCCAGCTATGAGTAAATAGCAGGACAGACTGGGTTCTATAGTCTTGGATGGCAACTGGTCTAGGAGAAGGATAACTCTGAATTCAAAACCTGCGGAGGGTCGTTTGGGGACCTTGTGGTCATAGTGCACCATGTCTCTGTATTCGGCCCTTCAAAAAGTTTGAACCCTCATAGGTCAAATTCGATGGAAGAGTCGAGCATATATAAGGGTCGGCATAGAATTTTAACCGCTGTCCATAAAACACGAAATAATAAGGATCGAGATAAAATCTTAAACCTCTAATGTGGTTGTCGCAACCATAGTATTAAAATTAGACTGTGTGCAAGGAGAATGGAGTCTCCTAGATGTCCAGCGTCCTGGGTATGATGTTAAACTACATCCGCGTCCAGTGAAAGGCGATAAACTACTTCCAACAGCAAAGGCGCGAGGTTTTGAAAAGCGTAGAACCACCTCTTAATTGCTGGTATTTCCAGGTCCACCCTGACCCGGGGTGGTAGCACCTGTTAATGGGCAAATAGTTAACCCCGAAACTGAAGTAAAAAGCATTATAAAAGTGTAAAAATAGGTTTTAATACCAGAAATACTTTGTAAAAATTATTACCAGAAATGTTTGAAAAAAAAACTATTGCCAGCAATATATTTTTGAGAAAAAAACAAATATTACCAGCAATACATGTGATCATACTCAAAAATATAAGTGATTGAAAAATGGTTCAAATATATATGTACTAGCAGTAGAGCCCGGCGTTGCCCGGGGATGTAACAGTAAGAGATAGATCAAGTATTGACCATCATAAAAACTGAAAAATAAAATTGACAAAGATTATTGTTTAAGGTTGACGGACATGCATGTCTTAATTAGTTTTTTTTTTTTTTTTTTGTTACGAATTGGTCAAACCCAAACTCAAACAAAAATATTGGATATAACAGGGGAAGATTGGTTCAATGTTTGTTTTTGCCTCATGACGATTTGAAATAGGAAAGAAGGGGTTAAAATAATAATTAGAAGCTATAAAATGAGTTTGGAAAAGAAAGTCTCTTTGTCTTTTCGTTTAGCCATGAAATTTGCTTCCTGGTTTCTTTCTCCTTGACTCTTTGTTTCCTTCTTTTCCTTCACTTCCTCCTCCTTGACTGTCTAGCTGTCTTTCATATTTTCTTTTTTTCTTTCCTTCTTTCTTTCTTTCTTTCTTTCTTTCGTCGAGTTCTCCTCCTCCTCCTTGGCTGTAATTCTTTCTTTTTCCTTCTTCAAGTTCTCCTCCTCCTTGACTGTCTTTCTTTCTTTCTTCTTTAAGTTCTCATTCTCTTTGACTAGCTTTCTTTCTTTCTTTCTTTCTTTCTTTCTTTCTTTCTTTCTTTCTTTCTTCGAGTTCTCCTCCTTGGCTGTAATTCTTTCTTTTTTTCTTCTTCAAGTTCTCCTCCTCCTTGACTGTCTTTCTTTCTTTCTTCTTTAAGTTCTCATTCTCTTTTTGACTTTCTTTCTTTCTTTCTTTCTTTCTTTCTTTCTTTCTTCGAGGTTCTCCTCCTCCTCCTTGGCTGTAATTCTTTTTTTTTCTTCTTCAAGTTCTCCTCCTCCTTGACTGTCTTTTTTCTTTCTTTCTTCTTTAAGTTCTCATTCTCTTTGACTAGCTTTCTTTCTTTCTTTCTTTCTTTCTTTCTTTCTTTCTTTGAGTTCTCCTCCTCCTCCTTGGCTGTAATTCTTTTTTTTTCTTCTTCAAGTTCTCCTCCTCCTTGACTGTCTTTCTTTCTTTTCTTCTTTAAGTTCTCATTCTCTTTGACTAGCTTTCTTTCTTTCTTTCTTTCTTTCTTTCTTTCTTTCTTTCTTTCTTCGAGTTCTCCTCCTTGGCTGTAATTCTTTCTTTTTTCTTCTTCAAGTTCTCCTCCTCCTTGACTGTCTTTCTTTCTTTCTTCTTTAAGTTCTCATTCTCTTTGACTGTCTTTCTTTCTTTCTTTCTTTCTTTCTTCGAATTCTCCTCCTCCTCCTTGGCTGTAATTCTTTTTTTTCTTCTTCAAGTTCTCCTCCTCCTTGACTGTCTTTCTTTTCTTTCTTCTTTAAGTTCTCATTCTCTTTGACTAGCTTTCTTTCTTTCTTTCTTTCTTTCTTTCTTTCTTTCTTTCTTCGAGTTCTCCTCCTCCTCCTTGGCTGTAATTCTTTCTTTTTTCTTCTTCAAGTTCTCCTCCTCCTTGACTGTCTTTCTTTCTTTCTTCTTTAAGTTCTCATTCTCTTTGACTAGCTTTCTTTCTTTCTTTCTTTCTTCGAGTTCTCCTCCTCCTTTCTTTCTTTCTTTTTTCCTTTTCAAGTTTCCTCCTTTGACTTTCTCTTTTTCTTTCTTTCTTTCTTTCTTTCTTTCTTGAGTTCTCCTCCTCCTCCTTGGCTGTAATTCTTTCTTTTTCTTCTTCAAGTTCTCCTCCTCCTTGACTGTCTTTCTTTCTTTCTTCTTTAAGTTCTCATTCTCTTTGAGCTTTCTTTCTTTCTTTCTTTTTTCTTTCTTTCTTTTTTCTTTCTTTTTCTTCGAGTTCTCCTCCTCCTCCTTGGCTGTAATTCTTTCTTTTTCCTTCTTCAAGTTCTCCTCCTCCTTGACTGTCTTTCTTTCTTTCTTCTTTAAGTTCTCATTCTCTTTGACTAGCTTTCTTTCTTTCTTTCTTTTCTTTCTTTCTTTCTTTCTTTCTTTCTTTCTTTCTTTCTTTCTTTCTTTTTTCTTTCTTTCTTGACTGTCTTTCTCCTCCTCCTCCTTGGCTTTTCTCTTAATTCTTTCTTTTTCCTTCTTTCAAGTTCTCCTCCTCCTTGGCTGTCTTTCTTTCTTTTCTTCTTTAAGTTCTCATTCTCTTTGTCTTTCTTTTTTCTTCTTTAATTTCTTTCTCTTTTCTTTCTTTCTTTCTTTTTTCTTTCTTTCTTTCTTGAGTTCTCCTCCTCCTCCTTGGCTGTAATTCTTTCTTTTTCCTTCTTCAAGTTCTCCTCCTCCTTGACTGTCTTTCTTTCTTTCTTTTCTTCTTTAAGTTCTCATTCTCTTTGACTAGCTTTCTTTCTTTCTTTCTTTCTTTCTTTCTTTCTTCGAGTTTTCCTCCTTTGGCTGTTTCTTTCTTTTTTTCCTTCTTCAGTTCTCCTCCTCCCTCCTTTCTTCTTTGTTCTATTTCTTTGACTTTCTTCCTTTTCTTTAAGTTTTCCTCCTTCTTGAGTTCTCCTCCTGTCTTTGTAATTTCTTTTTCTTCTTTAAGTTTCTCATTCTTTCTTTTCTCTTCTTTAGTTCTCATTCTCTTTGACTAGCTTTCTTTCTTTCTTTCTTTCTTTCTTTCTTTCTTTTCTTTCTTTCTTCTTTCTCCTTGGCTGTAATTCTTTCTTTTTCTTCTTCAAGTTCTCCTCCTCCCTGTCTTTCTTTCTTTCTTCTTTAAGTTCTCATTCTCTTTCTAGCTTTCTTTCTTTTCTTTCTTTCTTCAAGTTCTCCTCCTCCTTAATTCTTTCTTTTTCCTTTTCAAGTTCTCCTCCTCCTTGACTGTCTTTCTTTCTTTCTTCTTTAAGTTCTCATTCTCTTTGACTAGCTTTCTTTCTTTCTTTCTTTCTTTTTTCTTTCTTTCTTTCTTTCTTTCTTCGAGTTCTCCTCCTCCTCCTTGGCTGTAATTCTTTCTTTTTCCTTCTTCAAGTTCTCCTCCTCCTTCTGTCTTTCTTTCTTTCTTCTTTAAGTTCTCATTCTCTTTGACTAGCTTTCTTTCTTTCTTTCTTTCTTTCTTTCTTTCTTTCTTTCTTTCTTTCTTCGAGTTCTCCTCCTCCTCCTTCTGTAATTCTTTCTTTTTTCTTCTTCAAGTTCTCCTCTGGCTGCTTTCTTTCTTTCTTTCTTTTTTCTTTCTTTCTTTCTTCAAGTTCTTCTCCTCCTCCTTGGCTGTAATTCTTTCTTTTTCTTCTTCAAGTTCTCCTCCTCCTTGACTGTCTTTCTTTCTTTCTTCTTTAAGTTCTCATTCTCTTTGACTAGCTTTCTTTCTTTCTTTCTTTCTTTCTTTCTTTCTTTCTTCGAGTTCTCCTCCTCCTCCTTGGCTGTAATTCTTTCTTTTTCCTTCTTCAAGTTCTCCTCCTCCTTGACTGTCTTTCTTTCTTTCTTCTTTAAGTTCTCATTCTCTTTGACTAGCTTTCTTTCTTTCTTTCTTTCTTTCTTTCTTTCTTTCTTTCTTTCTTTCTTTCTTTCTTTCTATCTTCGAGTTCTCCTCCTCCTCCTTGACTGTAATTCTTTCTTTTTCTTCTTCAAGTTCTCCTCCTCCTTGACTGTCTTTCTTTCTTTCTTCTTTAAGTTCTCATTCTCTTTGACTAGCTTTCTTTCTTTCTTTCTTTCTTTCTTTCTTTCTTTCTTTCTTTCTTTCTTTCTTCGAGTTCTCCTCCTCCTCCTTGGCTGTAATTCTTTCTTTTTTCTTCTTCAAGTTCTCCTCCTCCTTGACTGTCTTTCTTTCTTTCTTCTTTAAGTTCTCATTCTCTTTGACTAGCTTTCTTTCTTTCTTTCTTTCTTTCTTTCTTTCTTTCTTTCTTTCTTTCTTCGAGTTCTCCTCCTCCTCCTTGGCTGTAATTCTTTCTTTTTCCTTCTTCAAGTTCTCCTCCTCCTTGACTGTCTTTCTTTCTTTCTTCTTTAAGTTCTCATTCTCTTTGACTAGCTTTCTTTCTTTCTTTCTTTCTTCTTTCTTTCTTTCTTTCTTTCTTTCTTCGAGTTCTCCTCCTCCTCCTTGGCTGTAATTCTTTTTTTTTCTTCTTCAAGTTCTCCTCCTCCTTGACTTTCTTTCTTTCTTTCTTCTTTAAGTTCTCATTCTCTTTGACTAGCTTTCTTTCTTTCTTTCTTTCTTTCTTTCTTTCTTTCTTCGAGTTCTTCTCCTCCTCCTTGGCTGTAATTCTTTCTTTTTTTCTTCTTCAAGTTCTCCTCCTCCTTGACTGTCTTTCTTTCTCTCTTCTTTAAGTTCTCATTTCTTTCTAGCTTTCTTTCTTTCTTTCTTTCTTTCTTTCTTTCTTTCTTTCTTTCTTTCTTTCTTCGAGTTCTCCTCCTCCTCCTTGGCTGTAATTCTTTCTTTTTTTCCTTCTTCAAGTTCTCCTCCTCCTTCACTGTCTTTCTTTCTTTCTTCTTTAAGTTCTCATTTCTTTCTATTTTTTTCTTTCTTTCTTTCTTTCTTTCTTTCTTTCTTTCTTTCTTTCTTTCTTTCTTTCTTTCTTTCTTCGAGTTCTCCTCCTCCTCCTTGGCTGTAATTCTTTCTTTTTTTTCTTCTTCAAGTTCTCCTCCTCCTTGACTGTCTTTCTTTCTTTCTTCTTTAAGTTTTCATTCTCTCTTTCTTTCTTTCTTTCTTTCTTTCTTTCTTTCTTTTCTTTCTTTCTTTCTTTCTTTCTTTCTTTCTTCGAGTTCTCCTCCTCCTCCTTGGCTGTAATTCTTTTTTTTTTTCTTCTTCAAGTTCTCCTCCTCCTTGACTGTCTTTCTTTCTTTCTTCTTTAAGTTCTCATTCTCTTTGACTAGCTTTCTTTCTTTCTTTCTTTCTTTTTTTCTTTCTTTCTTTCTTTCTTTCTTCGTGTTCTCCTCCTCCTCCTTGGCTGTAATTCTTTCTTTTTCCTTTTCAAGTTCTCCTCCTCCTTGACTGTCTTTCTTTTTTTCTTCTTTAAGTTCTCATTCTCTTTGACTAGCTTTCTTTCTTTCTTTCTTTTCTTTCTTTCTTTCTTTCTTTCTTTCTTCGAGTTCTCCTCCTCCTCCTTGGCTGTAATTCTTTCTTTTTTCCTTCTTCAAGTTCTCCTCCTCCTTCACTGTCTTTCTTTCTTTCTTCTTTAAGTTCTCATTCTCTTTGACTAGCTTTTTCTTTCTTTTCTTTCTTTTTTCTTTTTTCTTTCTTTCTTTCTTTCTTTCTTTCTTCGAGTTCTCCTCCTCCTCCTTGGCTGTAATTCTTTCTTTTTCTTCTTCAAGTTCTCCTCCTCCTTCACTGTCTTTCTTTCTTTCTTCTTTAAGTTCTCATTCTCTTTGACTAGCTTTCTTTCTTTCTTTCTTTCTTTCTTTTTCTTTCTTTCTTTCTTTCTTTCTTTCTTCGAGTTCTCCTCCTCCTCCTTGGCTGTAATTCTTTTTTTTTTTTTCTTCAAGTTCTCCTCCTCCTTGACTGTCTTTCTTTCTTTCTTCTTTAAGTTCTCATTCTCTTTGACTAGCTTTCTTTCTTTTTCTTTCTTTCTTTCTTTCTTTCTTTCTTTCTCCTCCTCCTCCTTGGCTGTAATTCTTTCTTTTTTCTTCTTCAAGTTCTCCTCCTCCTTGACTGTCTTTCTTTCTTTCTTCTTTAAGTTCTCATTCTCTTTGACTAGCTTTCTTTCTTTCTTTCTTTCTTTCTTTCTTTCTTTCTTTCTTCGAGTTCTCCTCCTCCTCCTTGGCTGTAATTCTTTCTTTTTCCTTCTTCAAGTTCTCCTCCTCCTTGACTGTCTTTCTTTCTTTCTTCTTTAAGTTCTCATTCTCTTTGACTAGCTTTCTTTCTTTCTTTCTTTCTTCGAGTTCACCTCCTCCTCCTTGGCTGTAATTCTTTCTTTTTTCTTCTTCAAGTTCTCATCCTCTTTGACTAGCTTTCTTTCTTTCTTTCTTTCTTTCTTTCTTTCTTTCTTTCAAGTTCACCGCTTTCTCTTCTTTCGCTGTCTTTCTTTCTTCTTTTCTTTCTTTCTTCTTTTCTTTCTTTTTTTTTCTTCCTTCTTCAAGGAAAAGAAACCTTTTTCTTTCTTCTTTTCTTCTTTTGTACGTCTTTGTCTCACTCCGTTTCTTTTTCTTTTCTTTTTTCTTTACCATTCCTTCTATGCTTTCTTCTCGTACCTTTTCACTCTGTCATATTCTTTCTTTGCTTATCTTTCATAAACACCGCTTTCCCCTTTCGACTAGAATTGAAACTCAGATCCCCGATTTTACATTTCGCGTCAGTAACCATTACACCACTCCGCTCTACCCTTCACCCCGGATAAACGACGACCTCACCCATTTTTTTTTCCCCAAGGCCTTTCTTTTTTTAACGCGTACAACAGTTAAACCAAGTTAATTTCTCCCTTATACGTCTCAGACGTGTTGTAAAATTTATTAATTATTTCTCTTTGTGAATCTTTCAGGCGAATTATTTGCTCTCCAACTGTACACGTCTTTGTCGTTGGTGAATTTATGGAATTTCAAGAAACAGCTGTTGCAGAAGCCAATATGAAAAAATAGCAAGAGCTTACGCAAAAATGGCTTTAAATCATTTCATATTAATATGTTTGACGTCGGGACGGAAAGCTTATTACTCATGGAGAAGTAACTAAAACGAGCAACGGCAGATCGATTAGCACGAGGCAAGACTCGATTATGTTATAATTGTAATCATATATTTCCACGACAGTTGGACAAATTGTA